AACGCAAACGCGAACATAAATAGAACACTGTGGTAACGTTAACAAAGCATCTTAAAACAGACTTTGTTTGTTTCACTTGCTGTAACAGTAATGGGAAAGCTGAAAGCAATCTCTAGAGAGAACGCTGTGATGGCCTGATGGGAGTTGTCAACGCTGTCAATTATCTGATGGTCTAAGATTCTGGACCACATCGATGGCTTCCCACGGGCACAGATGTCGCAGGGCACAGAGTCAAGGACACCAGCTAAGGCGGAGGAGCCGCAGAGCAGGTTGACGGGAGACGATCGCGATCTGATCGATTACGCCAGGGAGAGAGTGGTAATAGCTTTGTATAGGACTTGATCACCCCAGGGATTACGCCGGTATCTGATAACTGTGGGACTTGATCACGGGAGGGCTGAAACAAACAAGTAGTAAAGGAATCTGTTACCATCCGTAACCAAATCATGTTACAGTTTCCTCAACCAAACACTTTGGTACAATTTTGACCAAGGCATGCGTGTCGGGCGGCGGACAGAGAAGCACGGAACCGCAGCCACCAAGGCATGCATGAGGAAGCAGGCAACCAGCGTTGATGCTTTGTAGCTCCCCGCGCCCCTGTGTGACCTGCCACAACGCTTAGCGAATAGGCCAGCGCTTCAGCAGCTGGAGCAACCGCCGACATCGACGGCGCCCAATAGCTGTTTGACGAAATGCCTCCAAGGCAAGCCGTTCACCAAACCAACACTAGGCCCATACATCCTCGACCCCAGAGACCTATAACAAGGTGGAAACTTTATCCTTGGCCATTTCTTGCTTGTGTTCTCAATTTCAAATCTTCTATCTAGATTTTCCCAATCTAATTTGAACGTAGACGTTGCAGCCGGCATGAGCACAGAAGCAACTTCTCAAACTCTCAACCAAATCAAGGATGCAAAGAAAATCGCCTTGACGCACTGGCGGCGTCAGTGGCAGCACGGTACCAAACCCCTTTCCCAACTTCCCTATGCCTTCTATGTTGTAGCTAAAGGATGTGCTGGTGAAGGAGCATGCGCTTGTTGCAATAACAGAGCTTGCCATGGAGCCGAGTAGGGTGATTAGTACCTGTGCTTTGATTTCATTTTTTGCAGGCAAAAGGGGGCGATGCAAACCTGACGAATGGATTTTACAAGCATCCAATGCACAAGGATAATGCATTTCAAGAAAAGCCACATGCAAGCTTGATATCTCTAGGTGAAATTGTTACTGTCAAATGTTATTCAGGCTCAGTCCCAAATATTTTTCCCACCAAAAGGATCAGTAACATTGTTTAATCTGCTGACAGCTGCTAATTCCATTTAGCAGACTATCTTGAACTATTATGATTAATATAACAACCCATTGAAGCTTTACAAAGTTTCTTGGTTTAACTGAGCATTAGTTCAAAGGAAAGAGCACTAGAAAACCTATTGAAGTACAAATAGTATTAGGGATGCCATAGTATTAATTTTCTCAAGTGCTGCTGGACCTCGAGTTTGCAGATCTTATCCAACCAAATGAGATGCATAGCCTCACACAGCAGGTGAAATTGCTGTTCTCTTGTTAGTATGTTCTGAAATGAAATGATGCAACTGTGATATGTGGTTTGGTCCAGTTTCCGCTCAATTTGAGCTTAGGGAAAAAATAAATCACTGGAAGACTGATAAGTTGCGTATGTGCATAGTCTCAGTCTATTACATATTTAATTAACAAAACACACAACAACCTGATGCTATCAAATTAGTTTAATATAAAGTTCATTTATTTAACTAAATCAATTGCAGGTTATTGCCTTCAGGGAGAAGAATCCTATATTTTTTAGTCGTCAAATGAGAAACATGGAAAGAGAAGGTACTTCCATGTATAAATGTGATTATATTCTTAATATTTTAGTTTCGTATTTCAACTGTACTCTGTTGAATACAAATAATAGTGCCAAGTACAAAAAGAAACAATGTGTACTGGCTTAAAAAAGGCTGATTTATTCATACAGATGACCTCAATTTTGCAGCCCAGATCAAAATGAAATTTATATATTATTCTGGCTGACAAACCAGTGCCTCTAACACATCTAGTAATTACCAAGCATATTTGTTTCCATAGTAAATACATATCTTTTCATGGATTTTTAGCTTAAATTCAAACAAAACTACAGGAGCTAAGCTCCATTCATCCAACATGACGACCACGAGGACAACAACGTGCGCCATTGGCACGGGGCGAGGGTCCAACAAAAAAGGTACGATGCTGGTGCTGGTAGAATGTGCAAATCAATTCAATGAGGTTGTGGCAGTCCGTCATGCTGAACCTGAAGCGGGTGGTTCTACACACCCTGTTCTACTACAGCAGCATCACTACTACTGAGTGCCCCAATATAATGTTTCAATTGAGATTTTATTAAGATTAAAACTATCACTTCAACTTTAAATACTGAACCATGTATATAAGGTCATTCACTATCACTCTTCTATTATGTAACACATATGATAAAATATATGCTCCTAAAACTATGATATAATACATGTAACAACACCAATATTTAGCTTGATAATGTTTTCCTGTATATTCACTTATTCAGTATAGAGTATACTACTTTCCTGTCTATTTTTACAAAGATCCTTAACTACACTAACTTGATATGACAAAGAAAACGTAACATAATGCTATCAACCTTCCAAACTCCATTCTGAAACCCAATGGCAATTTGGTTGGAAGCAAGTTCATTCTAATTATATTAAATAGCCTCTACTTATATCAAATAGCCAATATCATCTTTATTCGCAACATAAGGTTTCTAATTTTCCATTTGCCAAAGCATGTTCAGTCTTCAGTTAAAGTGAACCCTGTGTTTTCTGTTCGAAATTTATGAACATTATCAATATTTCCTACATGGAACCATAACCATCTGCACATCTAACAGTATACATAGTATGGCTGCCCTTCATGTGGCAAAACAGACAAACACAAATCCAAGGAATAGCGCCACTTACCTCATGAGCCTGTTACTTTGACCACTGACCAGGCGACGGTGAGAACAAGGAAATTAGCCAAAGAAGAGAACCATATTGTAGGCATGTTTTTTGAGCAAATTTGGCAGATTGCTTAGAGGTTTGCAACATATCCTAATTAAAGTCTCTTCCATTGATCCGCTCTACAAATTCTTTTGGTAAGCCTTAAAAATTTAATGCATGTTGGTTCTCTGTCGTTGTCTTTGTACGCTCAGAGTTTAGCATTTCCCATCAGTAAGTTCCCAACTTTGGTCCTATACTCCTATCAGTAGAACTAAAAATAGGCCATCTCAGTTGGATCCCTCTTCATTACAGATTAATCCAAAAGAAGTAGAAGCTTACAGATCCTTTTTACAGAATTTATCATTTAATTAATTTTTTTTATTATGTTTTGGTCTAAATTACTTCGTATCTATTTTATTTTCAGAATCTTGGTGTGCCACAACACATTGAACAAGGAATAGAAGATTAGAAGATGTTGAAGATATAATTACGACTGCTACTTTCAAAATGTGTTTATTTACTTATAACGAAGAAGTCTTACATTAGGTGAAATATTTGGTTGATCAACTGTATCATAGTCTCAACATATATGCGTCAAACTGTTGCTATCATTGAAAGTCATCTTAAGACCCATATTGGAATTATTATATAACACATTCTCTACCAGGGACCACTTTACTTTTTTGGGGATTAATTAATTGTCATATAAGTAGACAGTGGCAATAGCACAAGAGAGCAAACACACACAACAAGAAGCTTCCCACGGATCAGCTCCCCAAATCCAACTGACATCCATGGGCTGGTGCCCTCTGAGGGGGCGCGGCAAAGCCGCGCGTCTTTCTAGTTTTGACCAAAGATTGCATCATCATGGACCGAGACACGCACAGAATCTAAGATCAAGAGAAAGGGGAAAGTAATGGAAACACGAGCAGTAAACCTTGACGAGGGTGACGCCGGCGTCCCGGAACCCCTGGAGGACGGCGGCCTTGGCAGGGTCGGCGGGCGCGGGGTCCCGGACGAGGACGTACGTGGGATGGCCCTCGCGGGCGCTGGCGGCGACGATGAACCGGCCGATGTAGCCCGTGCCGCCTATAACCAGCACCCGGCTCCGCTCCTTATGCCCCGCCGCTGACGACATGTCCGGTATAGGAGTGCAAAAGCGCGGTAGAACTCAAGAGCTAGGCGCGCGCTGCTCCCGCGAGGATTGGGTTGGATCGTAACGCCAGGCAGCCAGCAATCCGGCCGAAAGACGGTGAGGGGCTGCTGAATTCTGCTCAAGAACCGGGAACATACATGCGGTGAATCTAACTCAACTTGCGATGCAAAAAAAAAAACACTAAACAAATCTTCATTAATTATTAACAATAAAGGTCCTTTCTAAAATCCGGCTTGATCGACTTCTTTTATTTAGCCAAAATAGCGTTTCTTTTTTCCAGAACCATTCAGCTGGAATAGTATTTTCTTTTATTTTTTTAGCTAAATTCAGCCAAACGAACGGGACCAAAGTGTGGGACTTTATTTAGAGACATCTCTAAAAATTTACGAGGCTGGTCCGTCATAAATGCCATCGTGCGTCATGAGTTCGCAGATTTTGAAAATTTTCAAAGCATCTTAAATGTTGATACGGTCCTAAAAAAATGCAATTATTTCAAATTTAGAGCAAATAAGAGCATCTTCAGAAGTTTAGTAAAACAGCTTTCTATCTTAATCTATCTCTAATAACAAAACGGCAAAATTTCAGATTTTTTTTTTTCGTCCAGGCCATTGGCCTCGTCTGGCCCATTCTTCAGCCCAACTGTCGCACTCGTTCCGCAGCCCTCTCCCTCGCTTGCTTGGACGATGACTCTCTCCACCGCTCCGTCTCTACCGCACGGCGTGGCGCTGCCCTTCTCTCCCTCCCCCGCTCCGTCTCTCCCGCACAGGACACACAGCTCCTCTGCCTCACCACTCCCTCCGCTCTCTTCCACCTCCACCAGCCGGGCCCTTCCAGCCATGCCCGGCGTGGAATCGAGCCGGGATTCTGTCCCTGTGCGCCTCTCCGCTCCCTCCGAAGGTGGCAGCCGGGATCCGCATACTGGGTCGCCACATCACCGGCTCCCTTTCCTTTCTCTCCCCTTCCTTTTTCTCCCTGCGCAATCGCTGGCGCCATCACTGGCCGCCAAACTCTGCTGTCCCATTCCTCCTCCCCATCTCCGGCTATTTAAGCAGCCCAGGAGCCGCGCGAGCGGACACCGCAGCCGCCTCGCCCCTCCCCGAGCCTCCTTCCCCGCTCCCGCGCCCTACGCGCCGCCGCTGCTGCCATTGACGAGCCATGCTCCGAGCGGTGCCAGGATTCCGTCGCTCTGTGTTGCTGAAGAAATTGGAAGGCAGAACGGATTCGGCTTCGCCTCCGGTAATCCTCTCCCTCGGAGCAGCTTCAGGACTCATGTTGCTCTGTGTTGGTGACGAAAATTGATTTGAGATCGAATTGAACGCGGAACGGAGTCGGTTTGGGTCAGGGATGTCCATGATGTGTTCGAATTCAGGTTTCTATCTTTTCCCCCTTTTTTCCTCTTATATATTGTAGCCCATGATTCCGCCGCGGCCACACCCGGTAGCCTCCTTCGCCCACCATGGTGATAATGCCGATGAGAGCAAGGCCAATAAGTTCTTGAAGCGGACGCTTTCCTTCACGGACGGCCCTGGCGTCAGGCTCCGATCCGTCGAGATCTACGACTGGTATCCCCTAACCAAGGAGGACACGAAGGAACTGTCGGAGCTCACCAATTCTATGCATCAGGCAGTGGCATCGCTTCTTGCGAGAACCGTTGTGGCAGTGTGTCCCCGTTCACCTCAATGTTGCAATCCACATCAACATGGAGCACGTACATGCCGTGTTCAATGATATGTCTATGAGGTATAATGCTATCTTTTTTTTTTTGTATTCTGAAGCTGCTTTGGGAAATTCAGTTGAACATGATTGTTATGATAAATGAAAAGTATATGTCTGAGGTCTCATGTTGATTAATCCTTGTTTTCTGTAGAAGGTTTGATATCTGAAGTTCTTTCCCCAAAAAGAGCTAGCCTTGAACATAATGGAGGAGGCGAGGAACTGGAATGTGGTGGGCATGGAGGTGTGCACATTCGACGAGATCCAGAATTTTTCTTCTATGGACTTATGGAGGGATTGGGAGGTAAATGCAGTTCAATTTCTAAAGAACACGGTTGCAGGTTCACTCGATCTAACAAAGAAATAATACTACAATTTTTCTACAAGCAATTTTGAATCAGCTTATTAGCTGGGTCAGTTCATCCATAGTATATGCGCCATTCATAGTCTGATTCAAATGCAGCAAACAAGTGTGTTGTTATCGATCACATGGTCCAATAGTTGAATTCTGAGATCAGGTGGGACATAAGGATGGCGCTGAGCGCCTATGGTTCATTTAGCAGCAGAAAATACCTCAACTCGCAACGCCTTTGGTAGGCTGACATGCATTTATAGGAGTGGATAGTGTTTGTGGCTGTGGATGTTCCAGCAACTCCACATCATTAGCAAGCAAAATATGTCGATTATTTGGACTTCATCTGAGTTATGGGAGAAGGGAATGATTGCAACTCAAGTTCGCTAAGCATTTCAATAGCCCAGGAAAGAGACTTCACATGACTTTCAGGATTACAGTTGTAAGGTATAGTTTGGATCAGGTATTTAGCTTCAGTCAACTTTCCAGTCTTCATCAAAAAGATGGCTAAGTTACACTCTTTGCACCATTGCTGAATATACTGATCATATCTTCTTTGGTTGTTCTATTGCTAGAGTGGGTTGGTCGTGTCTCAGAGATGTGCAGCACTGGCAGGGCTTCTCAATGTCTATAGCAGACCTGTGGGGTAATTGGATTGGTAATAAATTCAGGGTGCCAAATAAAATGGCAACTAAGCATCGTTTCCCAAATAAACCAACTGATGTTGTATATACGGGTATTAATTAATATTCTACAGAAATGGCGGCCTCTACTGAAAGAAAGAGAGCAAGACAAACTGAAGCTTTTTTCTGGAGTACGCGCCCTGAGGTTGTTGCGTGACTTCAACCCAAGATAGTGTCGCCAACAGACATAGAAGTGATCTGATGGTAATGGTTGTTTTAGTCTGAAGTAGTATCTTTTATCTGGATGGTTTTCTCTGGTCTCTTTGCACTTCCTGTAATTTGGTGTCCCAGTATGATGTATTAAACTGATATTAAAGGGCGTACCCAGTGCAGAGAGCTCCCGCTCTGTGCGGGGTCTGGGGAAAGGTGTCAATGGTAAGTCTTACCCTCGTTTGTGCAATGCGAGGAGACCGCGACTCGAATCCGGGACCTTCCGGTCACAGGCGGTAAGACTCTACCGCTTTGCACCAGGCACGTCCTTCATTAAAAAAATATTAGTTTTCAATAAAAGCTGAGCTAATTCTCATTAAAAAAAATTTGGTAAGAGCAACATTCATGCAACGTTCATGTGATAATTAATTAATTTAAGGTGACTTATTTTCGTTGGGCAGAACATAACCAAACCTCATTGAAGCTAAAGGACAAATACTTTTCTTGAGAAAATTAGGTCAATACTACATATATGTTGATATTTACAATATAAACAACAACAACATAACCTTTTAGTCCCAAGCAAGTTAGGGTAGGCTAGAGTTGAAACCCACAAAGAGCCCCAAGTTACGGTTCAGATACTTCAATAGCTGTTTTCTAAGTACTTTTATTCAAACATAAATCCCTAGGTATATCACAAGCTTTCAAATCTCTTTTTATTACCTCCCACATGTCAATTTTGGTCTTCCTCTACCTCTCCTCATATTATTAGCTTGGCTTAGGACTCCATAATGCACTAGTGTCTCTGGAGGTCTCCTTTGGACATGGCTAAACCACCTCAACCGATATTGGACAAGCTTTTCTTCAATTGGTACTACCTCTAGGCGATCACGTATATCGTCGTTCCGAACTCGGTCCATTCCTGTGTGACCGCAAATCCATCGCAACATACGCATTTCTGCAACACTCAGTTGTTGAACATGTCGAATCTTTGTAGGCCAACATTCTGCTTCATACAACATAGCCGGTTTAATCGTCGTTCTATAGAATTTGCTTTTTAGCTTTTGTGGTACCCTCTTGTCACAGAGAATGTCAGAAGCTTGTCGTCACTTGATCCACCCTGCTTTGATTCTATGGCTAACGTCCGCATCAATATCTCCATTCCTCTGTAGCATCGATCCCAAATACCGAAAGGTATCCTTCTTAGCCATTACTTGACCTTCCAAATTCACATCTCCCTCCTTCTGTACAACTCCGCTAAAGTCGCATCTCATGTATTCGGTTTTAGTTCTGCTCAATCTAAAACCTTTAGACTCAATGGTCTATCGCCATAACTCTAGTTTTCTATTTACTCCCGCCTGGTTTTCGTCCACTAACACTACATCATCAGCGAACAACATACACCAAGGGATATCTCCTTGTATGTACCTAGTAACCCCATCCATTACCAAGGCAAAGAGATACGGGCTTAAGGCTGACCCTTGATGAAGTCCAGTTTTAATCGGGAAGTAATCTGTGTTACCATCGTTTGTTCGAACACTAGTCACAACATTGTTGTACATGTCCTTGATGAGGGTCACGTACTTTGATGGGACTTTATGTTTGTCCAAAGACCACCACATAACATTTCTTGGTATCTTGTCATAAGCCTTCTTCAAGTCAATGAAAACCAAGTGGAGGTCCTTCTATTCTCTAAACCGCTCCATAACTTGTCTTATTAAGAAGATTGCTTCTGTGGTTGACCATCCGGGTATGAAACCAAATTGGTTTATTGATATCTGCGTCGTTCCTCGCAGGCACTGCTCGATGACCCTCTTCCATAACTTCATAGTGTGGCTCATCAACTTAATTCTCCGATAATTAGTACAACTTTGGATATCTTCCTTGTTCTTGTAGATTGGTACCAATATGCTTCTTCTCCACTCCTCAGGCATCTTGTTCGATCGAAAGATATTGTTGAACATCTTGGTTAGCCATACTATAGCTATATCCTCGAGACATCTCCACACTTTGATTGTGATACCATCAGGGCCCATTGCTTTGTCCTCTTTCATCCTTTTCAAGGCTTCTCTGACCTCCGATTCTTGAATCCTCCGCATAAAGCGCCTGTTAGTGTCATCAAACGAGTCGTCCAGCTGAACGATGGTGTTCTCGTTCTCACCATTGAACAATTTATCAAAATACTCTTGTCATCTATGTCCGATCTCATCCTCCTTCATCAAGAGCTGCTCCCTCTCGTCTTTTATGCACTTGACTTAGCTGAAGTCCCTTGTCTTCCTATCGCGAGCCCTAGCCATCTTATAAATGTTCTTTCCTTCCTTCGTACTCAAACATCGATAAAGATCCTCATAGGCCCGCCCCTTTGTCTTACTCACCGCTCGTTTTGCAGTCTTTTTTGGCACCTTGTACTTATCTATGTTGTTTGCACACCTGTCATGATACAATCGCTTATAACACTCATTCTTTTTCTTAATAACCTTTTGCACATCTTCATTCCACCATCAAGTGTCTTTCGAGTCGCATCCGCTCTCTTTGGTCACTCCAAGCACATCTGAAGCAACCTTCCAAACGCATATTGTCATCTTCTCCCACATGTTGTTTGCATCGCCTTCATCATTCTAAGGGTCCTCTTCAATGACCTTTTCCTTATAGACCTTTAATGCCTTCCCTTCTAATTTCCACCACTTTGTTCTAACAACCCTAGCTTGTTTGTTCCCACGAGCTTGCACCAGAAAGCGAAAGTCAGCCACCACCAGCTTGTGTTGAGCGACCACACATTCTTCAGATATCACCTTACAGTCCACGTATGTTCGTTTATCCCTCCTTATAAGGACAAAGTCGATTTGACTAGAGTACTGGCCACTACTAAAGATCACTAAATGGGACTGTCTCTTACGGAAGAAAGTGTTAGTTATCATCATATCAAGAGCTATGGTGAAGTCTAAGACTTCCTCTCCCTCCTGGTTCCTACTACCATATCTGAAACCCCCATGAACCGTCTCGAAACCTGCACCTGACGTACCTACATGGCCATTAAGATCACCTCCTATAAAGAGCTTCTCGCTATTAGGGACAGCTCTAACCAAACGATCTAAGTCTTCTCAGAAAAACCGCTTAGCACTCTCATCATGGCCTACTTGGGGGGCATACGCACTAATTATGTTTAAGAATATATCACTAATGACAAGTTTAACTAAGTTGACCCTATCTCCTTGCATTCTCACCTCCATCACACCATTCTAGAGGCTTTTATCAATCAAAACTCCTACTCCATTTTTATTTGAAGTCCGTGTGTACCAGAGCTTGAAGCCGGTACTGTCCACCTCCTTCGCCTTCTGCTCCTTCCATTTAGTCTCTTGGACACATAAGATATTTACATGTCTCCTAACCGCTGTGTTCACTAACTCTCTTAACTTATCTGTAAGGGATCCTGCATTCCAGCTATCTAAACGGATCCTAGTTGGCTCGACTAGCTTCCTTACCCTTCGCACCCGCCGAGGTAGGTGTGAAGACCCTTGCTCATTTTGCACCACACCCAGACGCCGATGTGGCGCGCCACTAAGGATGCGACGACCTGATTCTTGCTAACTTGACATCTTGTCTAGATCACGGCGCGTCACGAGGATGACGACCCGGCCCTTGCTCATTTAACACCATACCTGGGTTCCGACATGGCGCGTCGCTAAGAGGGTTACGTCATAATGGGATTCTTTTGGGTTTCATCTCTATTAAAGTAACTAAGTTTTTACATTAGCTCGTCACGCCTAACACAAACCTTCACCTTTACAATATGAAGAATTTTATTTTATATTCCGGTCGCAACGCACGGATAAATTTCCTAGTATTTTATTAAAAAGGGAAAAAGTTTCCTCCGATAATTTGGTAAAAAAGCTCGTTAAAAATAAAAAGTTGTCAAATATCGTCCTCAGCTCATAGATTTCCCCCGTCTCTCCTCCTTACTTGTTTTCACGGCACATCTCGCGTACCCCTTCCAGCCGCCGCTGGTCTGTACCTGCCTCCATCGCCGCCACTCTGCAGGTCAACGCCGCCCGCCCAGTGCTTGCCTCTGCCGGTGTTCATTGATCTTTGGTTGGAAGGCTTGGCCTGCTGCCTTCACGTGTGCATGGCCTGCTATCTTCACGTGTGCTGGCCGTACGCAGCTGGCCGAGCCAATCGTTGGGATCGGATCAGTGCGGTGCTGAGAGTTGATGCAATTTTCTTTTTAATTTTTATGAACAACACAATAAACCAAAAAAAATAAATATGGTTCCTGCTATAACTTTTAGAAAGTTATTATAGGGACTGTTGAAGAAGAACAAAAATTAAGGTTGTTGTTTCTTTTGTTAACTTGCTAAATTGATTAGTTTAGCGAGTAAATTATACCAAACTCCCGAAGATGCTCTAATATTAGCATTTATGTATCCATACAAAATTATTATGAAAAACATATTCTATAACTAATTTAATGGTTCTTATTTTGTATTATGAATGTTAGTACTTTTTATACAACTTTAGTCAAAATTCAAACTATTTGACTTCTCAAAAAGTGAGAATTGCATTTTTTTTATGGACAGAGAATGTAGTGGTCAACATTATCTACAACATTTTAATTGACAATATTTTTTATTTAAAATTGTTTAGAGTCTTGAATATTCGTTTTATGTTCTGAAATCTAAATTTTTGAAATTTTAGACGATATAGGATGGGCAAATGTTATATACCAATTTACAGTGCTTGACTAGATCTAAAACTCTATAGTTAAAACTTTTTGCATTTGAGATCATTTAGCAGCAAAAATATT